TATATATGCAATCATACACAGGCTTCAACAGACATAGAAGAGATATGTACAATCATGAGCACAACCGTACAAAGCTAACAAAACAACCCCATACCGCGAAGACGTCAAGTCTGTACGTTTACTTGACACACAACTTATTTGGTTTCCAGAGGTTTGATGAAAACAAACAGCACGAGGAACCGACATTAAGATACAACACTACATCGTGAAGTACATTACATGTAGGTGATAATTGGCACATCCATCACACACACAGGAGAGACATACAAATACACACGCACAGCTCTCCTATACACCTGGGAACACCTCCATGGTAACATTGTGTAGTTGCACACTTAAACAACACCCAGGAAAGACATACACAACCACACGCACCACTCTACACGCATACCTGAGACGAGGAGAAGCCCGTACGCAGCACGTAGCACACAACTCCTTTGCTGTCTTTATGCTTAGCCTCTAGCAGCTTAGTACCGCCAAACAGCACGTGCACTTTATCCACGCCTTTAATATCAAGTGAACGTTGTGGATCATCGCCCTCTTCAATATGCTCCTTCATCAGAGGGACACTCTCGCCTGGAAGAACGAGAATGACATCAGATACTTGGCAATATATATATATATACCAGCATACCAGTCCAACACACAATACATATATCATTGAAGATTATTTAGCGCCAAAACACCACAATACAGTGTATATTAAACCAATATCAAAGTATTAGATAGATATTAAATGTAGCATCATACCAGTTAAAGTACTCTCATTGACCACAGCCGACCCATCAATCAGTAGGCAATCGCAAGGGATGATCGCCTCATCGCCGGTTCCTATTAAAAATTATCGTCGCATACATTTTTATGAGTATATGTATTCATGGACATGAATGTCTACTACTACAAGTGTGTGTATGTATGTATACAATTAAACAAAAACAAAGTTAGCCACTCCATGTATACGGCTATACGTATATAAGTTTGTAAATATATAATTAGAAACTATCGATTAATGTTCAATGTTCATATGTTCTTGTGATGTATAAAGATATTCATAACACCACATATCCATATATATATATATATATATATATATATTCAAAAATAAGAAATGCATGCGTCTACACGTGCATATATATATGATGTAAATACTTATTGATGGACATCAATGTATGTTTATAATATATATATATATATATATATATATCTATTCGAAAGCATTAATGCACTTCTACATATGTATGTCTATACGCATTTATGTAAATATCCATATACGTCAAAGTATTCGTTTAGCTGTATATATTTGTGAGTATGTTTACGCATGCATATATGTGGACACGTATAGTAGTGGCGTATATACATCGATAAGAAAATTATATGATCGGGTTGTAAAGACATACAAGTATGCGAGTGTATACATGTAATTAGCAACGTGTACCTTTCGAAGTGTGCATGTATGTATAAACATCCTTAAAAGCACATTCCATTCCCAGCTTGCATGTATGAACATCATATTGTATGCATGAAATGTAT